TCTCTCTCTCTCTCTCTCTCTCTCTCTCTCTCTCTCTCTCTCTCTGTCTCTCACTCTCTCTTTAAAAAAATAAAAATAAAAAAAATAAAATGCTAAGCTTTGATTTTTATTCCATATACCTTCTGGTGTGACTTTGTTATTCAGTTATAATACAGTTGGGTTTGTCCTTATACTATTTGTGTTCTATTTGGGGTTTCCACAGCACATAGAGGTTGATTTCTAATGTGTATTTGTGAGGCATTACTGTCATTCTAGGAGTCAGACTATTTGAGAAGGCATAATCAGAGAAGCCTTGTGCCTCTTCTTCCCTCCAGGACATTTCATTCCCCCAGTCTTTTCACCCCATTCCCACCATCCCCTGGAGACAACCAACTTGTTTAGTTTCTGGTTTATTCTCCTAGATTTCTTTCTGCACAAATGAATAGATAAATGTTTTCTTACAGAGATTACATTTCAATGTCTTTGTGGTACTGGGCCATTTGAATGTTGTTTGATGATTTTCTCTTTGAAGGGCACTTGTTGATAATTGTTCTGACATTAGGTTAATGTATTAGAAAGCTAGTGAAGCGATTATTTTCTTTCTGGGAAATATTTGTGGGATTTTTTTTTGAGGGAGGTTACTGGGGTCTGAACCTAGAAGCTTAACCACTGAGCCACATCCCCAGCCCTCCTTTTTTAAAATATTTATTTTTGAGTTGGACACAATAGTTTTATTTTTTGTTTATTTTTATGTGGTGCTGAGTATCAAACCCAGGGCCTCAAACGTGCTAGGCAAGCACTCTACCGCTGAGCCACAACCCCAGACCCCTTTTTTGTTTTTTACTTCTTTGAGACAGGATCTCGCTAAATTTCTTAGGGTCTTGCTAAATTACTGAGGCTGGCTTTGAACTTGTGATCCTCTTACCTAAGCCTCCCGGAGCTGCTGGGGTTACTGGTGTGCACCACTGTGCCTAGCTGTGGGATATTTTTCTAGAACAAAGGTGACATGAATTTTAATGTACTGATCAACAATCAAGTGTTTTTCAATAGAATCTGTCTGAACAAAAATAACATAAAACAGCCAGTAATGTTTTTCAATTTTTCTTTAACACATAGCTATTTTTGCAAGATGTTTAAATTTTTTTTTCTCTCCTTAAAATTGGGTTTTGAAGGGACTGAAGCTTTAGCTCCATGGTAGAGCATGTGCTTAACGTGCAGGAAGCTTTGGGTTTATCTCCAGCACCCTTTTCCCTGAAAAGGATTTGAATTATTCGAAAAGGATTTCAGGCACTAATTAGAGCTATTAGATTGTTACCTATGTTTTTTATTAGTTATTATTATTTTTCTTCTGGAGGTCTTTCAGCATAGCTTTTTTTTTTTTTTTTAATACACAAAGCCAAACAAAGCATTTTCCATGTCTGCTTAATAGTGCTGTGGTATATCTCATTATGCACTTTTTTTTTCTTTCCAAATACTCTACAGGCATTTGGGCAGTCCTTCTCCATCCATCGTAAAGTCGCTGAAGATGGTGAGACTCGGGAGGAAACRCTTCTGCAGGAGTCTGCATCGAAGGAAGCTTACTATCTGGGCAAGATCTTGGAGATGCAGAATGAACTGAAACAGAGCCGGGCTGTGGTCACTAATGTCCAAGCAGAAAATGAGAGGCTCACGGCCATTGTGCAGGATCTGAAGGAGGTAAACAAGTAAACCCTGCAATACTTGTGTGGGAGAGAGAAACAATACAAAATGCTCTCTGCCCGAGAGATGAATAAAACCTTTGCTTTCATCCAAGGAGCTGTGTTAAGCAAGAAGCACGTAATACTGATGCTAGCAGTTTTCCTGCCTTTTTAGCAAAATGGCAGCTTGCTCTGAGATGAGCTTTCCTCACTTTTATTGTTTTTTAAGAATTAAAAATTTTATGGGTTAGGAATGGCCTTGACAGTTTTGCCAAGGTGTATTTAAAAAATATAGTGACCTTAGCACTTCCTCCCTTCATTGCCTGTTTTAATACAACGTGGAGAAGAATGGTGGGCTGTAATCCTCTGCAGCAGTGTGAACTGAAAACGACAGCAGTGTTAACCCAAGATGCTCCTCACTGGGGAATGAATCCCAGGGGAGTATTCTGAGGGCCATGGAGTCTCATAATACAGAACCCCAATCCATTTTACTGGTTGTAAGGAAGGTAGCAAATGATAGCCAGTATGAATTAGATTAGGGGATCTCCATCAGACCCTGAGCCTCCACCAAACTACCCTCATCATCCTTTGCAAGGCAACATCACACACCATATCCTTTTGAGACTTCTAGGGTCATTCTTTAGTGCCGGATAGCTTGGGGACAGAAATAACCAAATGCAGCTTTATAACCAAATGCAGCTTTATCCATTAAACCCTGTAAGGCCATTTTGGGAAACTTCATATTCTATCACTCCATTTTCAACAATTTAGGTTACTTTTTATTAACATGTATTAATTGTACATATTAATGGGGCTCAGTGTGATATTTCAACACATGCAGACAGCATGCACATCTGGAATCGGTAGAAGAGGTGCAGATGTCTTTTAGCACCCCACACCCATGCAGCAATTATTGGCGTGCAGCTGCTTGGTCCACAACCAACTGGGTTCCTTAATTGAACATCTTAGTATAATAGAATATGCATTTCTAACAAGTTCCCAGGTGATGCTGTGGCTGTTGTCCCGGAAACATTTTAAGATCCACTGATTCAGACTTTTTGTTCTGCCCAAAGCTGAAGAAGGGAGGACCAGAAGGATCACAATTTGGATAATTGCTGAGCACCATGATCTCCTGAATGAATTCCTTGAGAACACTTAGGTTTCTGTACATTTGGGGGAATTGGTGTGCAGTAAGAGAATAGCTTGGTACATACATTTTTTTTTTTAATCTAAAGCAGCTCAAGGCAATTTAGGCTATGAATATATTCATTCAGATTTGTCAGGTAATTGAAAGAAAAAAATAAAAAACTTGTTAGTTTCCTGGTTTCCTAAGTGTGTTTGTTGATATTCTGACAGGCTAAAATCTAGTGGCATTACTATATCTCTAGGGCCTACTGTTTTTCATCAGGCTTCAAGTTGTTTTGATGCCCTTAACAACATTATTATTAGCATTTAGAGCAGAACATGTATTATAAAAGGAGAATAGAAATAAATTATATGTATTTTTAGTTAACTCATAACATACCTTTTGGGGGGCATACTGGGGTTTGAACTCAGGGCTCTTAACCACTGAGCCCCATCTCCAGCCCTATTTTGTATTTTATTTAGAGACAGAGTCTCACTGAGTTGCTTAGCACCTTGCCTTTGCTGAGGCTGGCTTTGAACTTGCAATTCTTCTGCCTCACTCAGCCTCCCACGCCGCTGAGATTAAGGTGTGCATAACATACTTTTGATGGTTGATATTAAATTGAAATCTCAGACTTGTTTTTATTGTAAGCTCAACTTAATTTATTTTTTGTACTCACTGATACATAGTGATTGGAAGAGACATCATTAGGTTAGAAAAATTATGCATCATAGACCGTGAAAAATACGTAAAGACAACCAAAGCTTAGTAAATCATCAGCTTGACAGATGTTGTGTGAATTTAATAATTAATGAAAGCATGTATATTTACTAAAAGGGCTCATCTCTTTGTTTCAGTAGGATCATTGGTATTGGCAAAAGTGAGTTTCTGAAGTTGTGTGCAGTATGTTAACTTTACATATATATGCATGTGTGTATGTGTGTGTAATTCCCAGGTCAATTTGTCTTGCATATATAGTAGTTATAGGAAAGTATGGAGGTCAAATGGAAAAATTGCCTAATTAAGTATTAGGAAATCAGTTTTCTCAGTTCTGCTAAAAGTTTTATATTCCTGATATTGGTAAAATTTGTTTTAAGGTTATATTGGCATAGAGTAAGTCCATAATAAGCATATGCTATTATCATTAATAATTTTCTACACCCCTATGAAAGTCCATGAAGATATCTCTCATTATGTAGATCTGTGTTCTTAGATTAAAGAAACATTAGATAAACGTCTCTGAATTTACCACCATGGAAATCCTTTCTATTGTGGTTCAGGTTGGGCAGTTGGATTACAATATGCTTTTCTTTCTGCCTTGGCCTCAGGACTATGTTTAACTGTTAAAAACTAACTTAGATTTTCATATATTCCTGTCAATTTTTAAGACATTTGACATTTTGTCAGCCTTACTATAAGCATGTCTTTAATGGTAAACTGTTTTAAATAATATTTAAAATTATAGATAGTATAAATAAAAAGCTATCCAAATCAAAGAATCAAATTAGAAGTTAATCTTAAGCAAGTTAGAAGTTAATTTTATAATTACTGTAATAATTAGAATTTATTGTAATATTTACAAAGCACACAAAGCATTTGGATCAGTATTTCTAAACAGAATTGGTGTGTCACATAAGATAGACCTCTTAGGTGGAATGCAGCAGATTGGAGTTAAACAATGAATAATTGGTCCAGGGGTATAACTCAGGGGTGGAGTGCTTGCCTAGCATGTGTGAGGTCCTCTGTTCAGCCCTGGCAGAGCAAAAACCAACCAACAAACAAATAAACAAGAAACTTATTAAGTCAAAAGTAAGATTCAGCCTGTACTTTAAAGTAACTTTATTGAGCACTGGACACTGTTCTGAATTCTGTATCTATGTTTGAGCATATTATCCCATTTTACTAAAATGGAAAATGGGACATGTGAATTGAAGAGACATTTAGATATTTGTCCAATGTACTTGCACTAAGTGACAAGCCAGAATCAAAAAAACTGGCTCTGATCTATACGCTCTTAGCCTTGTCATGGTAGCTGCCAAAAGCACATCAGCCTCTTCTGAATCTTGGCTCAAACTAATTAAATTCTTGAAGAATGTATCGAGAATTAGCACAATAGCTTCTGTGGTCTTACTGTGTCTCCTTCAGATTCATGTGTTGAAACTTAATCAGTAATGCGGTAGTATTAAGAGGTGATGAAATCATGAGAACAGTGCACTCATAATGGGATTAGCACTTATAAAAGAGGTGGGGAACTAGGTAGGCTCTTTGGCCCTTCTGCCATGTGAGGACACAGCATTGCTCCCTTCCAGAGGATGCAGCAATAAGATACCATCTTGGGAGTCAAGACTGGATCCTCCTGAGACACCACAGCTTCTGGTGCTTTGACCTTAGATGTCTGGCCTCCAGAACTGTGAGAAATGAGTTTCTGTTCTTTAGAAATTACCCAGCCTTAGGTATTTTGTTTTAGCAGCAAGAATAGATCAAGACAAGAGCCAAACTTTTTTTTTTTTTTTTTTTTTGCAGTACTGGACTAAGAACTTAGGTCTTCTTGCATATTAGACAAATGCTCTACACTGAGCTATATTTCTTAGCCCTTTATTTCATTTTATTTCATTTCATTTTTTGAGGTAAAGTCTAAGTCATCCACATTGGCCTTGAATTTGTAATCCTTCTGCTTCATGCTCCCAAGTAGCTAGAATTATAGGCATATACTACGTGCCTGGTTTGACAATAATTTAATTTGTAATCCCATTTTAGTGGGATATGACTTTTATATTTTAAAAGATGCTTACTCCATATGATTTTTTAAAGTTTTTTTTAAACAGATGCAACATTTTTTATACCTTTATTTTATTGACCCATTTTTATGTGGGTGCTGAGGATCAAACCCAGTGCCTCACACATGCTAGGCAAATGATACCACAACCCCAGCCCCTATGCCATATGATTTAAAAAAAAATATTTTTAGTTGTAGTTGGACACAATACCTTTATTTTATTTATTCATTTTTATGTGATGCTGAGGATTGAACCCAGTGCCTCATATGTGTTAGGTGAGCGCTCTACCACTGAGCCACAACCCCAGCCTCAGTCCATATGATTTTTACCACATTTGAAAGTTCAATTTTTCTCTCAGTGGAGTAAAAAAAATCAAATTTCATAATATGCCAGTGATCCAATTTCCAGAAATTCATTATATGAACATTTTGAAAGTATATCTCTTCTACCACAAGGAACTCATATTCATAAAATCCTAGGATGGGAAGGAACTGCAATGGTTATTTACTAATAATACTTCTCCCAGAACAATAATATTTCTTTAACATCCCTAAATGGCCATATATTTGTTATTCAGACTCGTCCAGAATTATGGCAAAGAGAAACTGTGAGCCCCTTACAAAGAAAGGACTATATTTTGTCTATCATTTACCTTGGTATCCCCAACATCAAGGCTAACCAAAATCAGATATTAGAAATTAAAATTTAAAAGTAATTTTTATTGAGTCAAATTGAATTAAACGAAACTGAAAGAACATGTTTTAGAAGTTAGCCATCCCTGTGTGAATTTTAGCTGTACCAGTGGCCAAGTATGTGATATTGGGCAAGTTACATTTGTTCTCTGTGTTAGTCAGCATTCTATTACTGTGACAAATACCTGAGATGAAAAACTTGTAAAACAAAAAAGTTTATTTTGGCTCACAGTTTTGGAAATTGTAGTCCATGATCAAGTGACTGTTGCTTCAAGTAAGGCAGCACATCATGGTAGTGAATGAATAGCAGAGCAGAACCTTCCTCTTGACTGGGACTCAAAAACAGTAGGAAACTAAGGGGCTAGGCTTTTCTTCTACCCCCTTCAAGGACATGCCCCCAATGACTGGAAGGTGTCCCACCTGG